TAAATCAATGGTGCGCATGGATTTTTTGAGGAATAACTTTCCAAATATGTCAAAACGTTGAAAATAAGGCGTTTTGCAAAAAAAAAAAAGAAAAAACCCTAACCCTAACCCTAACTCTAATCCTGACTTTACATAATTTCGCCCATCACTCAATCTCGCCCACCATCTTTAATTGCTTATATGTAAGTTAACTCACACGCTGCACCATCAAAATGACGTTTTTTTTTTTTTATTTTAAAGTTGATTAAGGTGCCCCAAGAAGTCCTTACGGTCTTATCACAGAGCACCGCAAAGGAGCATTTAATGGGAAGTTCACGCCTCCTTCACAACCGATATCGCAAAACTTGCCCAGAGGTGAGGTTTGAACCACGGATCTTACGTTTCTGAGGTAAGTGCTCTACCATTGCGCCACGGCTGCTTTAGAGTAGCACCACGGCGTTCTTTTAGAGTAGCAAATTAGCCTTATCAATATCGAAAGAATTTTGACCTCAAAAGAATTGCAAATAAAAAAGTATCTCTTAAAGAAAATTTGTTGGTTTTCGGTAATTTTTTTGCTACTTCATTTGCCGAATTCAAACCAGCTGATGCAAATCTACCGAGTTAATTATTTATTATGCATGTTAAATTATAATTTAATTTTGTTCTTTACTGTTTAATCTCTGATTATAATAACATTTATAATTGTTTGAAATTGTAGAATATGCATAAAATTGTTTTCTGCTTAACTTACTAAAATAACTCAATCTCGCCTACAGAATAAAAATATTGTCGTCCAATGCATTTAATCTCGCCCGGGATGTGAGAATGAACCCCAAACTTACTTGATAATTGCTTTGACAAAAATTGATGGATATCCACGTTAACTTATTTTTGGTTGCCTTCAAAACAATACTCTTCTGTGTATTACTCTGTGTATTACTCCATTAAATATACAAGAATTATCATCATCATCAATACTCTTCTTCTGTGAATAAACGTTAAGTTTTTAAGGAAATTAATCAAAAAATAAATTGCTATGGCGTTGAGTAATTGTATAAAAAGCTCATTTTTATCAAAAGTAAATAAATTAGCTTTTATTATCTTATGCATAATATTATTATGCATAAAATGAGTTTTGGACATTTTGAACCTAACGTTTTGTACCTAATAATTTAGTTATTTTAATAACTAAAACATTAGTTCTTATTATTAATAAGAATGTTCTTATTCTTCTTTAATAGACTTTTGTAATTACGTAGCTAAATGCTTATTTACTTCATTGTAATTTAAGTAGTGCGAAGTTCTAGGGTTGGAATTAGGTTACAAATACTAACATATGGTTTTCACCACGTGTTAATATTTGTAGCTCTTGTAAACTTGGAGCACTTTATTAAATAATTATGACATTCATACTGCAATTTAATTTATTTAGGTATTGTCTTGAAAAAAAAACATGGTTAAAACAAGAGGTGGGGGATGTAGATCATTACCAAGATTTCACCGGATGTCGATTCTGTAACAGAGGCTACAATATGTCGATTCTGTAACAGAGGCTTCAATAATAAGCAGCCGTGGCGCAGTGGTAGCGCACTTGCCTCAGAAATGTAAGATCCGTGGTTCAAACCCCACCTCTGGGCAAGTTTTACGACATCGGTTGGGAAGGAGGTCTGAACTTCCTATTAAATGCTCTTCCGCGGTGCTCTGTGATAAGACAGTAAGGACTTCTTGGGGCACCTTAATCAACTTAAAAAAAAAAAATATGTTATAATACAACTCACCTTCATGATGGTATAACTCCTTCAACATCTGGTAGTAGTACTCTTGACATTTGTCAAATAAAACAGCTAGCAACAATTGATGTTTTTTTAACTAGTGTAAAAGGTTCCAAATCATTCCATTGATCATTCAGTCACTGTAAAGAAACGGGGTAAGTTCCTAAAATGGAGTGAAGAAAATATGATGAGTGCAATTAGGCATGTCAGATCAGAGCCATTATTTTCAGTACGTAAGACAGTAATATTGTACAATGTGTCACGTACAACACTGAGAGACAGACTTTCTGGAAAAGTTATTATAGGAGTCAGGAAGAAAATCCTTCCTCTTGCTCTGGAAGAAAAACTTATTGATTATGTCAGCAATAGAGCAAAGTTAGGGGTAGGTTTTTGAAAGTCACAGTTCCTGAATTATGCTGGGAAATTTGCCCCAAAACATAAATTCAACATCTAGAAAGGACTTCCAAGCAACCAGTGGTGGACTAGGGTTAAACACCAGCATGGGCAAAAATTTACTCTGCGATAACCTGAGGGTACAGCTTCAGTTTGATATCAGTGTATAGATAAAGATAAAGTGTTAAAGTACTTTAGTGCTTTGAATGACGTCATTGTTAAAAAATTGTTTTCACGTTAAACCAGAATCCATATGGAATATAAACAAAATAAAAAAAGTGTTTGTACGGAAAGACACAAAAAACCTCAATATTAGAACGACTGGCAACTGAGAGTCAATCACTGTTATTGCATGTGTGAATGCACAGGGCAAGTTCATTCAACCCCAGGTTATAGTGAAGGGAAAGACATCCAGGTCTTTATAGGGTTTTAACACTGAGTTCGCGCCTCGGGGAACAAATTGGAGCCGGTCCGATAGTGGTTGGACTAAAAAGGGCCTAGCAAAATTACGGTTTACCAAGACATTTTAGAAAACATTGGTCCACAACGTCCTCAGTTATTGATTCTGGATGGGCACGATTCTCACAACTTTATTGAGCTAATTGATATTAGTATCCAGAACCAGATACATATAGTTGAAATGCCTTCACACACATCATACTGGCTTTAACTATGCGACCGCAATTTATTTAAGCCACTGAAAAATTATTTTTTTTTTTTTTTTTTTTTTTTAGTATTGTATTTGCCGATTGAAAATAATTTACACTCGTAATTTATTAAAACAAATATTTAAATGACTGGGGCTTGAAGAAGACAAAATTCATCTTATCATTAAGCCCCCCCCCAAAAAAATGCATATTCATCAAATAAAATATTTTAACAAAATGCAAAAAATAAAATATATAACGTTTAAAATATTTAGTAATTCAAAGAGTATTTATATTTAAGAACTGATTAGTAAAATAAGATGATATATAGGTATTAATATTACAAAAAGAATTTACAATAACTTTTTTTAATAAAAATTGAAATTATAAAATTTTACAATATTTTTAGTAGTTAGTATTTCAAATAATAAAACTTAAAAATTCGTTTGTAAATTCAAAACTTATAAGATAAGAAATACATTTACAATAGCAGACTATTGTTTAGAATATTAAATATAATATTAAAGAGTAATTAGTAGGTTAATTTTTGTTTTTGTTTGCTAGTTTAAAAAACTTTTTAGAAGAACTTTAATTCATTTTCATGTATCATCAGTAATTGCTTAAGTTTTGTTTTAAACTGGTTTAAAGAATAATTAGATTTCAGCTCATTATTTAATATTGTATTTCACAGCTTAGGACCTCGATTTGCAATTGAGAATTTGGTTGCTGAATAATGTGTTTTGGATTGAATGTAATTGTTTTTTGAAAATCTGGTAGGGTATATGTGGTTTATTTTTTCAAAAAGTGAATTAAATAACATTGGTGATATTTTTTTATCAAGTTTAAACATGAAGATAAGAATATGGTAAAGGTTTAGTTTATATACATTTAGAATATTAAGTTTATTAAATAATGTTTGAGGGTGAGAGAAACGGTCTACGTTTGTAATTATCCTTATAGCCTGTTTTTGTTTACTAAACAGTTTTTTTACTTTTGTTGCGTTTGTGCTGCACCAAGCAACGTTTGCATAATTTAAGTAGCAATGAATTAAAGAAAAATAAAAGTTTTTTAAACAAGATAGATTTAAAAACTGCTTCACTTTATACAAAACACCTATATTTTTTGATATTTTATTTTCAATTAGACCTATGTGGTCCCTCCAGGTTAAATTTTCATCCAGAACCACACCTAAAAACTTTATTGATTGCTCTCTTTTTAATAATGCGTTATCAATAAAAAGATCAGGAAGTTTTAACGGAATATCTTGTTTTTTATGAAGACGATGGAAAAAAGTGTATTTGGATTTATTGATGTTCAAAGATAGTTTGTTTGATTTGAACCATTGGGTTAATTTTTCAAGTTCTTTGTTTACTGTTTGAAATAATTTACTGATATCTTTACTAAAATAAAACAAGTTTGTATCATCTGCAAACAAAATTAAGTTTAAAATGTTAGAAAATTTATATAAGTCGTTAATATAAACGAGAAATAAAAGTGGTCCTAAAATTGATCCTTGAGGAACACCACAGGTGATTGACTTATATTCCGTTTTTCCGCTATCATATGAAATAAACTGCTTTCTATTAGTCAAGTAACTATCAAACCAGGACAAATTAGTATTTATTATACCATAACTTTTCAGTTTGGATAGAAGGATTTGATGATTGACAGTGTCAAAAGCTTTACTTAAATCGATAAATACACCTAGGGTATACTTGTCTTCATCAAACCCTTTAAATATATCATGAACAAGGTGAGTGATTGCATGATCAGTTGAATGACCAGATTTAAATTATTGCTCTAAAGCACAAGATCTGATGGGTCAGTTTCCAGGAATTATTACTTGTCGTTCAAATTTTGCAGGGATATTTGTTTCATCTCGGGGAAAAACAATGACTTCTAGAAACATTATATCTGGGTTAAAGTCTTATGGAATTTAACCATTTAATCCTCAGGCTATTCCTAGTGATGCATATTTACTAAACTATCTACACATAGTTGAGGATATATCAGTTAATACAACTGAAAACAATTGTTCTTTGGTTAGCATTGTACTATCATGTTTTTGTTATACTACTATACAATAAAAATTATTATTCAAACTTTAGCTAGCAGCTGTGACTAATATTTTATGTACAAATTCATAAAAATTCTGAATGAAGCATAGAGTTTACTAACTTGCGTTTCAATAGTATTATTATTTTCTTAGGAATTCCAATTGTTCAAGAAAATAATTTTTCCAACGTTGATGCTACTTTAGATGCTGTAAAAGTTGCTAATTATCTTGAACAATTACAAAATGGCACTGAAGAAAATAACGCAACTCGCAGTTCGTTACAAAGCAACACTTCTATTTTGGAAGCAGAGTTGTTCGTAATAATCAGCTTTCATATTTAGTCAATCCAGTTAAAGAATAAAATGTTGACTGAATTGTGAATAGTTTTACCAATCTTACTAAGTAAAAAAAAAAAGAAATCTTTAAACCATCAAACTTTAATTCTGCTACAATTTCAGATTTTTCGTTTGCAAACTTTTCCCACCCTGGTAAGTCAATCATTTTACAGTTTTTTTTTCATTTTATTTGATCATGTGATCAATAGTTGCATAGCAACATTGGAAGTTTTAGTTTTAAAATAATTTAAATTTTTTAAAATTATTTAAATTCTTTTATTTAAGTTCTTTTATTGAATATATATCTTTTTATCAATGCAGGCGATGAAGATGATGATGTCTTGCCATATCCTAAGGCCACTGCACGGAAAAAGATAGCGAACAGAAAAGGTCAGCTTAAATACTTCGTTTTAACTTTCCAAGCATACGCAGAAAAGCTGAAATATCACCAAGACAAAATCCAACAGGAAAGAGAAAAATGCGAAAGAAAACAACTGCGATTTGTTAATGCTGCTAAGTGACTCAAAGAAAAAGGTGAAAAAAAGGTATTGGCTAAGAAAACAAATTAAAAAATTGTGCCAACAAGTCTATAGCAACAACAAAAAAGAAGTTCATTTCATTATCATCTGAATTGCAACCATTGGTTGATCCCGAGAACAATACTGACTAATATGTACTAAATATTTGACAATATTTTTTATATAACTAAAAATGCATACAATTTCGTCTTATCTATATAAACTTTTTTATTATTTTTATTTAAGAATGCTCTAATGGTCTTATTTGTGATGAGACCTAATGGTCTTATCACTAAGCACCGCCACAAGGGCTTAACCATTTAATGAGTTGGTTCCTCATTTCGAGCTTTACCGATAACGTATAGGTGTTTCGAGCAGGATTCGAACTCGCAACCCTTATACAATGAGTACCATGCTCGAATCACAACGCCACCGCTGCTCAATATAAAAATTAAACTCATGACTGGGACAAAAAGAAGACAATATTTGTCATATCAATACAGCTCGTAAGCATTGATGTGTTAAAACTATACTTTATTTACACATTATACAATTACAATTGAGATTGATCTCAGAATCCAGATTCAAGTCAGAATCTAGGGAGAAAGTTCGCATTCACAAAATCCCATGGTTTTCTACTTTTCTAATTAAAATGGTGCAATTGAGCATAGAAATTAACTAACAAGATTTAATCTCACTCACCGTAGAAATTAACTAACGAGATTTAATCTCACTCGACGTACACGTCGCCCTACGCAAGTATAAATTCTTTTAGTTTACACAGTGGGCGACTTTAAATCAATATGGAAAGATTGAGTTCAAGTGAGCAAGATTTAGTGCTTTTGACACACTGTACAATTTAAAATGGTACTGCCAACTACTCTCATAAAATCTAAATAATTTCACATAGTTTTGTAGCTGAAGGAATAAGTAATCTAATGATGTATAGTTTAGCAGTGCAAGTCTAATAATAGCCTGTCAACATCAATTTTAGTGCAGATATGGGCAAGGTTTGATTAATTTACCCTAGTTAGATTAGATACATAAAGTTTTGTTTTATAATCATAGTAATATAAAATCGATGTTCGAAGCAATTAATATTAAACTGGAAAGCTTTGATTTATGGGTTTAAAGCAAATAAACTATCCTTAAACTGTGAAAAAACTAAATACATCTTATTTCATAAAATAGGTCAATCAATGTCTCTACCAACAACATGGGAAAAATTTACAAAGTTCCTTGATGTTCAAATGAAATTTATCATAATGAAAATTTATCATAGAGAAATCATATAGGACACATTGAATTAAAATATTTTCTGCAATACGTATCAGATTTTTATTTTTATGTCCAAACATAAAAATAATATACTAACAAATTTTTTTTAGACTTATTTTCGTCATCATTTTTTCAAAGTTATAATCTGCGATCAAATAGCTTCCATAGTTAATATATTAAAAAAAATTAAAACCCGGTTTTCTGAATTTTTAATTATGTCACAAGGCCCCAAAACATGGAAAAACTTAAAAAATCAAATATTAAAAGTCTCTTTTCAAACCTATATTCCAACGTTGAGCACCCTTGACGTCCGAAAACCGGGACTTTAGGGAATAGGTAAATTGGGATGTATAAGGTAGACGCTTCGCAGTGTACATACATCGACTGATTTATTTAGCCATAGGCACAGGGAGTGTGCATACATCGACTGAGGGTTTGGGTTTGAGCAGGTTGACTTGAACTATGTGAATTATCTTTTTCATATTTGCGGACTTTAAGGAGACCGTCGGAATAGAGGCTTGATAAGAGAGCTTACTCCTTTAAACGGCAAGCAAAGCTGCATATTCTTGGTTTATAAAAATGATTCAAATAAATAAAAAATAAAAAAATATAAAAAGTAAAAAATAAAAAAGTAATTTTAAATTTTAATTATAGTAAAATAGCATATAAAATAGTCGTGGCGCAGTAGTTAGAGCGTTGAACTCGTTATCTAAAGTCGCGAGTTTAAACAGGAACTTAGTATTAATATACATTCGACGATGGTCTTAGATAATATTATTACAACTCCTCTATCTAAATTGTCAGTTCCATAGTGTAGTGGTTTTCACGTTCGCCTAACACGCGAAAGGTCCCCGGTTCGAGTCCGGGTGGAACTACTTGTTTCTCCTTTGATCAGACTTCTGCATAAGAGATGACATCCTCATTAATCACTAACTTATTATTACAAATAACATTATAATTATAACTGTTATTATAATATTTATTATTAACTAACTTTCTTTTTTTATAGTGATTGTTATTGTTGTACACATAGTTATGATTGCTATAACTTTACTTACTTTATTTTTTTATCTTATATTTTTATTAGAGGAACACAGATACCCTGTGGCGTAGAAAGATTACGAAAGTTGGGGGAGGGGGGATGGGCTGAAAACATTTACTAAAAAGAAAAAAGTTCCTCACTTTTATATGATACAGCAAAATAGACGCAAATGATCTATTTATTCAATTATTTATTACACGCAACGTGATTAATCATCTTTTTAACGTGATTAGTCACCTTTTGCCAGCACACGTTCATTTAAAAAATAGTTAGTATGCGATAGTATCTTAAACAGTTTTATGAATATACTTTTCCATGGTAATGTTTAATTGTGATTGAGTCTTTGCAGTATCATAAAAGTTTTTTTTAAAACTGTTTAGGAAATGGGGCTAAAAGCAGTGTCCACTCCTCCCCTTCGTGTTTTAGTTGCTATGACTTTATAAGGGTTTTGACTGTTGAAGGGAACTCGTAGAAGACTGAGTTTAGTCTTATCATCGAGAACCTTTGGGTGTTGCTCAAAGTACACATATAAACATGATTCTCATAAAACAAATATTTTAAATGTCATTGAGGTAGACTTTTCTTTTTATTGTACTATGTATGGTGTTAGTGTTGTGGTTTATAATAATAATATTATCTTTATTTTTTAATTTAAAAAAAATTCATTTTTATTTTTAATTGATTGCTGATTATTTGAATGTGAGCGTAAATATTAATTATATTTGAAACTAAAACAATTCTAAGTAATTATCTGTATTGAGAACATGACTTTTTAGTTTTGACTTTAAAGAAATTATATTGTCAGCAAGAGAAATTGAGGTATAATTCGGAATTAGTTTGTTATATAAATAAGGGCCGCGGTTAGATTGAGAATTTTTTTGTCTTTTCCGGGGTACAATAAAGTTACCAGTTGATCTTGTGTTAAATTTGTTGAGATTAGATTAAAAGAAATTTTCTGTGAATCGGTTTGCAACTAATCCTAATTTGTATTTTAGCATGAACAATATATTAGCATAGATATTAATTTGGTAAATGTTTAGCGCTTTCATTTCATTTAATAGGGGTTTAGCGTGGGTCAGTTTGTTCTTATGATGTATTATTCTGGAGGCATGTTTTTGTCGTCGATAAAGGGACATTGTTGGTAGACAAGGGACAAGTTGGGGACTATCGCCCACTCTACCCCCCCCTGTTCCTACGCCAGTGCCGATACCTACTTTTGGCCGATTCCACAGGCCGACACCAATGCATCGGCATCGGCCCTAAATTAGAATTTATACTCTATTTTATATATATATATATATATATATATATATATATATATATATATATATATATATATATATATATATATAATTCTTTGACTCTTGTTTCATTTAAATAATTTTAATATTTTGTTTTTATTTGTTTAATATGACTTTATTTATTGAAAGTTTTAGCCTGCATATTTATATATAAAATTATTGCTTTGATTTCAATTTTTTAATTTAGATTAAAATTGAAATATTTTCTATATTAGATATTCTATACTTTCTAATTGTTTAAAATTTAAGTTACATTTAAAATGAGACTATACTATTCTCAGAGGCAGGTAACGCTTTTGATAAAAAAAGAGCTAAATTGTTGGCCAAAACTCTTTTTGCACTACAATAGTTCTGAATCTCTAAAAATCCTTTCATAAATGATTGTTGCAAATAAAATTACATATTTTTTGTTAAGAATTTTGTATTTTTAACCTAGGTTTACCTATAGTTCTTCATTGCCCTGTATTACAATGATTCTTTAATTTAATTTACAGTCTGTATCACATGTTTTAATAAATAAAGGTGAATAATAAAATCAGGCATTTCAACCTGAAAAACTTCGGCCGGAACCGGAATGACCTAAAAGTCACAGGTTCCGGCTGGAACGGAATTCCGGTACATCCCTAATTGTATGCGGCTTTTGTAACTACTCCACGGATGTTGTTGGACAGATGTAGTTATCTTTTCCCGTTTTTTGTAACTCTAGCCGTAGTTACTTCAGCTATGTAAGTACTATTGCATTTTATTATAAGTAACCAATAGTGTCAGTTAGATAACAAAGTTGTTAATTAAATTTAAATCATTCATAATGAAAATATAAATAAATTCGTACATTAGGTAACTAATTCTTCTATATAATACACTTTAAAAATTTATACCAATTATATAAATCGTTTGAAAAAATATAAAAATGAAATAAAAAGCCACACAAGATAGTGAAACGTTTTTATAAAGATAAAACCAATTACGAAGTTAATATATTTACATCTCAAATGTTAAGAAATTTTTTCTTTTAGTTAGAATCAGCATTTTCAAAAAGGCTTCAAAAAACTAAAAACACTTTGAATTCGTGCTCAAGAATAGCTTAACCATGTTTAAATATATATTAACCATCGCTGCGATGCCCTTAACGAATGGTAATAATTGCTTGATCACATCCTACTTGGTTAACATTAAACCATTTGGTGAATTTATAGACAAACAAGAACTTTTGGCTTATAACTCGTTTCGTTATACGGTTGAGCTTATTAGAGGTCTGAATCCAGCTACTACACAGAATAAGATTTTACTTTCTCCTCGAACGGTTTTGGCTACAGTAGAACTTATTTGAGACTTGACTCTGAAATTGGTGAGAATAATTATTTTAGAAACACTCTTACTTCCAGAGCCTTTTCTTTAGAAAGTTAGACCAGAAAGTTTAACCCATCCTTGTTTTTAAAATGATTTACCCGATCATCGGCATAACCGAACTCGAGAATAAGGAAAATAGTATATTATATAAAAAAACAACCCGTAAACGCAAAATAGTTATGAATTATGTAGACTAATAAAGTATTTCTTTAATTCTTAACACGTAAATATAAAAAAACTACTATTTCAAGCTTACTTAACTTATTAAACACATTAGCAACAACACAACCCATAGAGATTCCTTCACAAAAACTAAGGTTTTCTGGAGAAAATTTTGCTTGCTCTTTGCCTAGTATTCTAAGTAAACTTCTTCCAATGCGAAATAATACATTATTTTAAAAGAAAAAAACGAGTGGCTGCCGAATTATAGTTAATAACTATTAAGGAGATAGGGATATTTACTGCAGAAAAGACTGCATATTACGTAAAGTACAATGTTTAGTAATAACAAATTAAAAAGGATCTTGAAAAATAGAAGAGTATTATAATTTAACTATATTGCAAAAGTTTTGAGAGGCGTCTAAACCTACTTATTACGTTTAGTTTTTATAGAATCGGTAAAAATCATTACGTAATCATCAAACATGCTTTACTTGATGTAACTTTAAATTGATATTACTTTGGTTCTGCGAAATATTTTCAATTGATTACGTTTATATCAATAAAATTCACCTCAGTATTAAAATCTTCTATTCTGAATTACAGAATGTGGTTGCCGCACTTGTTGCGTATATTCAAGACGATTATCTCTTAAGTGAATGTTCTGTGGATTTTGATGCAACGCTAAGCCATGAGCAGCAGCCACATACCCTGCTTGCAAAGCCTGAGCCGCATTTGATCCGCCAGAAGATTGCAGTGGACGTCCAAATAAGTCGGACATAGGAAGAATTCTAGGCGGAGCAGCTGATAGACCCCTATTTCCAAGCTCAGCGGGAGCAGGATGCAAACCTCTTCTGTCCCCAATGGAATTTTGAAGGACACCTTTTAACTCATGATTATTTAACATGTGTGGTGGTGGATCAGAATTGCGGAAAACTCGTTCTTCGTTTCTTGTTCTTAATGGTGGACTATTTCGAATATCACGCCTTTCAACATCTTTTCTAGAATCTGCTATTCGACGTTCGTCATACCTTTGTAAACCTTTATTTTCAATCCTATTATCCGAAAGTTCAATGCGCTCCTTGTGCAAGCGATCCATGCCATGTACTACTCTATCTTCTCTTGAATCTCTTACGTCAGAACGATAACCACGATCATCCATTCTATTAGTATTGCGTAAGTAGTACTGTTCGTCGTCCATTTGTTGATTAATCGGTCTGATGTCAAAAGACTTAATTTCTGTTTGGTTACCCAAAATCCCAGTTAAGCCAGCTCTTCCCAGAACATCAGAGAGTGTTTTGGGAGCATTACTCTGAACATCAACATCTAACCAATCGCGTCTATCAAGATCACGCAATGGGTTTCGTTCCTCTAATCTAATTGGTGATCTATCACGATTAAAAGGTCGTGCGTCAGTTCTTTGTACGACGCGTCGAACATCAGGTTGAGTGCTAAAAACGGGACGATCCCTATTATAAAGTTCGTCTTCTCTCGGCAGTCGGTCATTACGGATATCTCTTCGATCTTCAGCATTTCGACGATCATTTCTGTGATCTGATTTACGATTGCCACCAGAAGGTATTAAGTGACGACGTTGATCAAAATCATCTTCTTTAAGGTAAGAGTCTTGACTTTCAGTAGCGCTAAAAAAATCCTTTCTGTTAGACAAAGGCGAATCTTCTCTTAAGCTTCTCTTTGAATCTGGATAATAAAGTGCTCTGTCATCATAAGCAGATCTTTTTAAACTGTTGCTATTACCAATATTTCTATCGATGCCTCTGTCGATAATTCTACTTCTTTCTCGTTCACGTCGTTCTCGTTCAAGACGCTCTTGCTCTAAGCGTTGTCTTTCTTTCTCTATTCTATTTTCACGCTCAATTCTTGCCAAACGTTCTTTTTCCAACCTTTCTTCTTCTTGTCGTTCTCTTTCGATTCGCTCTAATTCCAGGCGTTCTCGCTCTTTACGCTCACGTTCCAGTTTTTCGCGTTCAATGCGCTCTCTTTCTAATAACTCTCTTTCACGCTCTCGCTCCCGGCGTTCTCTTTCTTCTCGTTCTTTTCTCTCCAACAAAAAACGTTCACGTTCCCGTTCCCGTTCTTTCTCCCGCTGCTTTTCTGCCTCCCGTTGCTTTTCACGCTCTTTCCTAACTCTTTCAGCTTCCTTTCGAGCGCGTTCTCTTCGCTCTTTTTCACGTTTTTCTTGTTCTTTTCGTTGCTCTTCGCGAAGTAATCTTTCTTTTTCGCGTTCTTTTCTACGGCGTTCTTCGCGTAATTTATTCTCCTGCTCAATTTTCTCAGCTCGCTCTTTGCGAACTTGCTCTGCAGATTTGATATCTTTTTCAACATCTTTGGTGTTGGCGTCTGCTTCATTTTTTGATTTTTCGTGACTTTTAGAAGATTCACTCGGAGATTTTTTTGGCTGAGAAGCAACTGTAGGACTTTTAACATCATTCTCTGCAGCCGCTTGTTTTTTATTCTGTTTTTCTTTTGGTGTTTCACGTGTCCTCCTTTCATCTCTTCGACTTCCCCGATCATCGCGTCTTGCTGACCTGGACGACGAGGCTAAAATAACTATTTTAATTAGCCATTTATAAAAATACAATAAAATAACAAAGTATTACTATTTAGTGTACAACACAATACATATCTTACAATACAAAAAACAGTTAGCGGACGTCTTTTTTAAAAAAAATCTTAAAACCCCTCACATGGTTTGCAGGCATGTGAGCAACAGAAACTTACATCCTAAAAACTAACACATCCCTCACTTAAAAAAAGATCAAATATTCGATGCTATTTTTAAATTCGATATACTCTACGGTCTGCTTATTGACACCCGCAAAAAGTACTGTTAGTAAAAACTGATACATTAAATAAGTTTAATATAATTTTATTTCTATATGAATAGTTAATCAAGACAATAATCACACATAAAGAAATCTTACACGTTCGAGAAGACTGGGTTCGAGATGATTGTCTAGAAGATTGCGAACGATCTTCGTGCTTTTCTAAAACAAAAAATTAGTATAAACTTATTTAGTGGATTGTTACAAAAATTTAGCTAAATTACTAAACTTTTTAACAGGTTTGCTTTTCGTTGATTCAAATTCGAACTGCTTTCATAAGTAATAAATCTCATAAACGAACAAACAAGAACAAAAAAAAAAAAAGCTTATTCCTGAGTCAGGTCTTCTAACCAATATTAAACAGCCAAGTTTAGAATATCATTTTATTTGTCTTAAAAATAATTTGTTTATGTTCTTTTTTCGAATAACTCAAATCCTTACGATATAATCCAAAAATAGAGGCTATTCATTTGTAACAAGTTAACAAATAATTTTTTTTTTCCTTACTTCAATCCTAAATGTTTTAATACTTTGCCGTCCTAATAAGTAAAACCTTATAGCCATCAATACTTTACTTAATTAATTGTCTGAGTTGATTACTTTATTCACTATATTTAATTTATATCCACTAACTTTTTTATCCGTGTTTTACTTGAAATTTAATACCTTAATTAAATTTTTTTTTTTACTATGGTCAATTAACTAAGTTTTTATTATCAGACCGCATAAATAAATCGAAAAACTTCCAACAGTCACTTTATATACAAACATCTGTAGAATAAATAATAAATATAACAATAGAAAACCTCCATAAATAAATAATAAAAATCCACTATAACTAAAAACTTTATTTAAAACTGTTAATTGATACTTTATTAAATACTTAATAGTAAATACTACATTAATACTACACCCTGCATACTACTATATTACTTCAGTTTGTTCAAAGAGCTATTACAAATTACATTATATGATTAAATATTTAATGTTCAATAACTAACCAGATTTTTTATCAACCTGCTTTTTTGGCGGAGTTGGATCGGTTTTTGCCTTAAAAAGAAAATTAAAAAGTTATTTAAATCGTGGAAGAGTGGAAAAACAACTATTGAAATAATTTTAGAAGAATATTTAGTACCTTTTCAACTTGTATAACTTTTTCATGAAGAGTTGATTTGTGTAAACCTTCTATACACCTTACAGCTTCATCATTGGATGACATAGTAACAAAGCCAAAACATTGAGAGCCGGGTGTTTTGGCACTAGTTACCACTTTAGCACCAACTACCTTAAAAAAAAAAAACTATAAAGTTAACAAATGGGGAAGTATGAAATAAACTTTTTTGGCAAAATTTTTTATAATAAATTGGCAATACATACATACATATATATATATATATATATATATATATATATATATATATATATATATATATACACACACCCACACATACAAATTCTTGAGATTTTCTCAACAAGTTATCATTCACACATAACTAATACCAATAACTTGATTTTCAAAACTAATTTGACAAATACACCATACCATGACAATTATGGTGAAAATGTTGAACTTTATTATTAGAGTTTTGTTCACCTGCAAAAGATTGAAATCAGTATTAATTGTCAGAGCAAGTAGTTAGACTCAAGATGAGATATAAAAGTTTGTTAACAAAATAACCTGCTGATAATAATACTAAGAAGACTGATTATAAAAAAAGAGTCAGACAATCTATGTTCTTAAAAGTTTTTAAAAATTGATGTGATGGCGTTTTCTATCAGAAAAACAGAATTCACAAAAATAGGAAAACAAGATTCATTAAACTTGTTAAATAGTTTAGAGTATTGAAAGTTCTGAAAACTTTTTTAAGTAAGATGACTAGCTAATAAAAATTAAGTGAAAAATAACTTCAGCTGTTGGATGTCAGCAACAGAAGATTTGGATGTCTAACAATGACTCCTCCATTTTCTGTGGAATTAAAGATAAGTTGGGGCATTAGACTCAACAGAAATATTAGAAAAATTTTATTTCAGAAATAGTTCTGCTTTATCGTTGGTGAGGTAAGATCAGACCCATGTATGAGGGGAATGCTAGGATTGATATTATTAATGATGCTATTAAAGATTTTTTAAGATTTTTTCAAATCCATCTTCTTCAATAAAATACAAGACATAGTAATAGGAGATTAATCATCACAACAATAAAAAGAATTTGCTTTTAAGAGTTACTATTGTAAAAAAGATGAAATGATTGCAATTAAGAATAGTAGGGATGAGTGAGGCCTTGATTGAAACTAACAGGAAGAAATAAAATGCCTGCCACAATCCAAGAAGCTATGTAGAAGACCTGATTTTCAATTAGTAGAAAAAAAACATCAGATCAAGAACCATATAAAGAAATCAAACAACCCCAATGATTGATTTTTCATGATTGAATGATTTAATAAAATTATAAAACAACTAGTTTTGGATTGTTATTTTTTATAAAATAATTTCAAACATTTTGTTTATTACATATTTAGTATATATCTAATTACCTTTCCAAATTTACTGCATACATCTTTGAGATCAACTGCTTTTGTTATAGATGAAAGCCCACTTATCCAAATGCATTTACTTAAATCTGTTTTTTTATCTTCATTTTGTTTCACTATGCTTTCACTGAAATTTAAAAATATTTATGGAATAAATTTAAAAACATTGATTATGATAACAACCTTAAATGATTCTTTTCTCTAAACTTAGTGTTTTTATATATTTGTAACTAGATTTTGTATTACATTTATGGCAAATATTTTTTTATATTTGTAATTTTTGTGGAATTTTCGATAACCTTATTTTGAAGGAGAAAAAAAGTAAAAAAAAAAAGTTGGAAATAACAGAACAAAGTAGTAACAAATTTAAACTAGAATTTAACAAGAAAACAATATCTTTAACAAGACTACATACTTTAACAAGAAAACTTTTCACTAAATAACTTGGGAGAGATCTTTTTTTTTGAAGAGATTAAATAATTTTTTTTTGAAGGATTTTCAATTTTATTATTGGCAAAATAAATAGTAAATTAAACAAAGGGTTATATATGAAAATCATTTCTAATTGTTGGAAATTATAAAACTGTACATTACTTAAAAATCATATTGAAAAAAGTTTAGGCTGAGTTGATAGGCGTAAGTCAGTATTTTTTCCTGGTATTTTTACAATATAAAAAAGTAGCAAATGAAAAACAAGCATCATCCAGTTTTCTATGACCAAAGCAAATGCAAATTTAGATAAAATATCTTTAGTTAAGCCAAGTACAAGATATTCAAGTCAATTTAAAAAAAATCTTGAGCTTCAATTCCCATAATAACATTCCAGTTGCTTGGGTTAAAAAGTTGAACCAATAACCATCTGTAAATTGTGTTAATATGTAATCCGCGTAATCTATCTGTAATATGTGTTAATTAACACTTATGACAAATAAATATTCACATAAATTTTCTTATAGCAGAATTTAAAAAAATACACACTTTAATGATTTAAAGCAAAAATAAGCTTCAACCAAATGTATAAACAGATTCCAACCAACTAAACACAAAATATGGACTAACAGTTGTTTTCAACATTAGGAATATGAAAAATGCGGTCTTGATTATGCTTAAACTTTTCTTTCAAGGTTAGAGTTAGGATTTACTTTCTAGCGCCACCCTTAATACCGCTAAAATAAGATATTTAATTAGTGTCCATTTCATTTTTATACTTTTCTGTGGACTTACATGGAATCAAATTTAATATTTAACGTTATTAAGGAACTAACAAAAGTTTAGTTTAAAAATAATTCAGCTAAAAAGTAAAACTATTTTCTTTGATTTTATTGTATTTTAATTTTAAAATTATCAAATCAATTTACTTTAAAAAAATTTGGAGACCCTGTATTTAAAAATTAATAAAATTGTCTACAAATAAAAAAAACTGTTTTGTCTAGCTTTTACAAAACTATAGATTTCTTTTAATTTTTTTTTTTCGTGTTAATTTTAATTTAGTGGTTCAAAATCAAGATCAAATTACCAAGACAAGAAAAAAGAATCATCATATCTTAAAATAATCAACATTAAATTAAAAAAAGAATCATTATCAAAATGTAAAAAAATCAATCATATAAATTTCGAAAATCATTTGATTTTTTGTTAAAGCTGAGAAGATAAATAAGTTTTTATATAACTTAAAGCGACGAGACAATTATAACAGCCAAAAAAATCGATGAATATAAACAAACAAATTTCATAACTGAAACTAAACTAACAAAAGCACATATCTATTTCTTAAAATCTCTAAAACACCATTCCATTATTGAGACTAGTTTAACTGACTATGGTCGAAAATTTTTGTACAAAAGAATTCACAAACCTTTTTAAAAGCGAGTCCTTTTTATTCTCGCTTGAATCAGAAATTTCAGAAGATTCTTTTTTAGGTGAATTTACTGTGTTACTATTAGAGGCCTGTTCTGAACTTTTTCTTGGGATCTCATCTGTATTTTCAGCCAAAACCAAAGTTTTATTAGAATCATTTACTAAAATAGCGTTTTCACTACTTTCTTGATCAACATGTAGTTCTTTTTCAGCATTACTTTGTTTTATGACTTTTAACTCATTTCCATTTGATTTTTCTAAAGAATTATCGCCAACTAACTCAACAGAAGCAACTGTCTCTGTAACATCCATAATTTCCTCTTCATTAGTTCTACTTTTTTCTTCCACTTTTATTTCATTTTCTTCAACTTTGAGATTATTTGTGTCCTCAACTGAATTTACCATATTTGTTAGCACATCCTTTACACTATCTTTTTCCTGGTTATCTTCATCTGTTTTTTCTTCTAAAAATTTATCTTGTTCTTGATGTTGTTCAAAAACATTTTCATTGTCTTCAACTTTCATTGAGTCACTGTTTTCACTTTTCACTGAGTCAATGTTATTTGCAGATTCCATTTCAAAATCTTTTGAAAAACATGCATAAAATAAATATATTTTAAAAACAATTAAAAAGTTTAAAAAAAAGCAAAACAACAACAACAAACTGGAACCCTGTCATAAAGTGTGCAGTGTTTTAAAATATGCTGAAGATTCTTGATTCTTTGATAAGATTTAGATTTTTTCAATTCAATTTTTTAATGCTCCTAGATAATATTTCTTCGTTTTGACTTTCCAAGGCTTTATAAGTTTTTCCTGATGTTAAATGAAGTTACATCAAACAGGTTTTACCATGCAATTGTTTGAATATTACATAAGCATTTGTAAATATATGAAACTGCTTTAAGAATCGATTTACCACATCTTGTTTGACGATACCACCAAATCAATAACCAAGATAAATAAGAAAAGAGCATATACCACAACAAATTAAAAAAATAGTTGAACATTTCTTTAGAGTTAAAATATTTCACAGATAACTGTTACATTTCTGCTTTTTTGAAGAAAACACAATATACTTTAAACCAAAAATATTAGTCAAAAGCTATGACTCAAAATAGAAGCCAAATCAGCAATCGCCCAAAATAAAATTATAAATTTGAACTCATAAACTTAAATTCTGAACTTATTATGGCATTGTATATTGTTGACAGCCCATTGAATCAAAACAAAAAAATAATAAATTCCTTGGCGCAATTAGCATTAAATAATAACAAATAGTGTTAAATAAATAACAAAGCAATTTAAAGCCAATAAAATGATTATCATCCACTTGTATCCAGGTCTTCAGAAATTACAATCCACTTGAAAACCAAAAATGCATAATAATCACACATGCACAAAATTATGACAGGGCGGATGAGGGAAAAACATTCTCAGGTTTCATAACCAATATATTTTTAGAAATATCTTCATTAATTTCTCAAATTTAAAGTTTTTATCAACTTAAATTTAAAACTAATTTTTAAAGTATTTACATACAGCAAACATGCTTAATAGGAAAAAAAATAATTGATTTCTGACAAATGCTGACAGTTGTTACCTTTAGATTCTGAAACTTGACTTGCATCCTGAAAAAAATAAAGTTAACACTATATACGTTAAGAGAAATTATTACTAGGAAATTATTATCAGGTCTTGTTTCCAAAAATTATATTGCATACATTTTACATTCAGAATTAATTACACTATTTTTGCTTTAATTTAGCAAAACTTTTTTTTTCCTTAAAATAATCTAACTGCTAAAAATGGTAGTTTTTGCAAACATATTATTAAGAATTGATTTTTAAGCACTAATTTTGAAAATAATTTATTAAATTATAGTTGACAAATTATTTGTCAACTAAAATTTAATAAATTAGTTGATGTAAAACCATTATTTTTATTAAAGTTAAACAAGATAACAAGAAGAAAAAAAAAAAAGAAGTAAAAAGTAAAAAAGAAGTAAAAAAACAACAGTTAAGCTTGCCCTCAGGATGCTAATTTGATGCTGTTATAACTTTATATTAACCTTTTCAATCTGAAGTATGACTTTTGGCATTCTTACTAGATCCAAACTCCTTTTAGCATTTTTAATACCTCTATATTTTACTCAAAAACTAAAGTTTGCATTTCTGTTTTTTCTAACCCTGATTCTTCTGACTCTACATCTGAATCTATTTCCTTTTTGTTTGTGGTTTTACATCCTGAATCCTTTACCCTTAAAAATCCTTTCAGTATTCTAGAGGAACTTAAAGCTATATAAAAAAACTCACATATACCTAGCAATTTCCTGTGAGACCATAGGTAAAAATTTAAAAGGAAATGCTGTTGTTTGAAAACAGAGAAACACAGTGATTTTTTGCAAAGAAGGTATAACTTCTTAATAACTATTTTAATCTAGCAGTGTCTGAACATTTTGCAACAAAAATAAGAAATTATTTGGGGTAAGAAACTTTGGATGTGCTTTGCATCCTCACAACATATTTTCTTAATAATCAAAAATAATTGCATATTTATATTGTATCTATAAAAACAATGAACTTGTTATAATTTCATAATTAAATAATATAAAAAATAAAGCATTTTCTAATAATTTAATAAAAAGTTTTTTTAAACCTCTATTGTCTAACATGTCTAAAAAAATAATTTTTCTAAAAATTTTACTAAAATAATGTTAATATCATTCAAGAACAGATATTTAAAAATCTTGGGATTCCAGGAATAGGTTAATACATTACCAAAACCCTGTGATTAAAATTATAGCACATGATTACTAACTCTAATCCTTCTTTATAAACTTTCTGGTTACTATGCTCTGATTTTTTTAATATTAAATCGCATTTTAAAATCTTTTACAATAATAGTCTTTTGTTAAAACTATTTATTTAGATTTTCACAGTTACAATATATTTAGTTAAATCAATTTGTTAAAAAAAATTAAAGAAAATAAGTTGAGTTAATAAAAACTTTGTTAATTTTTATTTTTGAGGCGCTAAAGCTACAGCAAAAGCTCATAACAAGTGTCAGTATACAATCAGCAAAAGCTCATAACAAGTATCATTATACAACTAGTAGTAAAGCAGTATCTTACAACTTTTATTCTTTCTTCAGTTTCATCTAAAAAAAAAAAAAAATCTGATCTTTAAAATGAAATTATAAGTTTTAAAACAACTTTGCATCCTCAGGTTACTTAATTATACATATATTTATACATATATTTATTAAATTATATAATTATATAATTAAGCAATCAAGATTTGCGATATCTGGAAAAATATCTGGTCTTCAAAATTTTAGGTTAAGCAAAACCATGTACTTTGCTTTTAAGGAACAAACTAACTTAATTTTGTTAGCAAAAAAATTATGAAAAACAAAAAAATAATAATAATAAACTTAGGACTACATAAGTAATAACACTCCATTCACTAACTGCATTATTAAAGTAATAACACTATAACAGTGTTATTACTTTTATAACGCATTTACAACTTAAAGAACATAAACAATAAGAAATTTAAACAACATAAGTAATCCCAAATTTTAATTGAAGTAAAAAAGCATCTAGAAAAAATTAAATGGATATTCAAATATTAAAAACTATAGGAACTTAAACTAATAGGCACTTGAACGAAAATGTAAAATATGAAACTATAAACTTTCTATTTTAACTTCTAAGTTAATTTAAATAACTTTTCAAAAAATGTTACTAATGGTCTGTAAAAATGCTTGTAATTTTCAAATCAACCAAATTAAAAATTTTTAAGGGTTGATTTTAAAAATAAAGCGCATTTTTACAGACCACTAGTTACATTTTAAAAATGCTAAATATTTTTTAGCACTATTTGACTTGAAAAAGTTCCTGAAGTTTTTTAGTATTGACTATCCACTGTATTTTTTTTTAGATGCTTTCCTACTTCAATTAAAATTTAGGATTACTTATTTTGTTTGAACAAAGAATGAACTAAAATTTATAAGTGCGCTATAAAAGTAATAATACTATTATAGTGTTATTACTTTTATAATGCAGTTAGTGACTAGGACGTTATTACTTTTGTAGCCCTAAGTTTTTTGTTTTGTTTTGATAACTTATTTCCAACAAATTTAAGCTAATTTACCCCATGAAAATACATAACACAGTTTTGCATAAATCAAAATTTTGTAGACCAGATATTTTTTCCAGATATTGCAAAACACGATTGCCTAATTCAACCCTTGTTTAACATCAAGAAAAAAAAATATGTACCTTCATGTTTATCTGTCATATCTGCATCTGATGTTGCACTTTCATCTAGCAATGACTAAAAATAAAAACTTTTTAAAACTTAAGAACTTAAAAAATTTTCATATCAGCATAACTTAGGGCAAAAAAGTTTATTCAAAAACAGTTAGCTTTTTTTATTTGTAATATAATCTAAAATTTATATAAACAATTATAAAATAAAAACTGCAGGATGTCATAGTAAATAAAAACTGAATATAAATTATCATTTAAATTATCTTGTAACAAGGTTAAAAGTGTTTTTATTTTATCAAATATTTAATTTAAGGATTATTCATAAATTATCTAAATTCATATTTTAAAAACTTGTATAACATTTTGCAAAAAACTGAAATTTATTTCCCTCTTTATTGTTCTTAATTTAGCTGATGGCTTTCTCAATTTTTTCGAAAGTTTTATTTTTTGTACGGGTAATGATGTTGAAAAAAAAAAAAAATTTATTACAAAAATATATATTTTAATTTTTATTTATTTTACAGAAATTTATTTATTCATTATTAATTATTCATAATAAAGATAATCCCTGGAAATAATCTGGGCTGTTTTTAACAGTGGTCAATCTTTTTACAAAAATTTGTTTTGCATATCAAATACGAAAAATATTTTTTCCTTATGTTGGTCAGAACAATGCCATATTTGATCAAAAAACATTACCACAACAAGGTTTTGATTGATTTACACTTTCTTGATATTTATTATCAAGAAAGTCAAAATTAATTTAATACCAAAATAAAAAAATAAAAAAGTTACAAAAAGTAGTTGCAGATAACATTTGCAGTTAATATTTAAAGTAAATTCTATGAAAGGCTGAATACAACACATTTAAATAAACAAATAGCAAAGCACAAATAAAAAAAAATAAGGAATAAATTGATGGGTTTAAAAAAAAATAATTATCAATCAAAAAAGTTACACTAACATTTTTTGTAATGGTCTTTTAAAAATGAAACTGTTATACCTGGCAAAATAAGAACTGAACTAAGAGAAATAATAAAAGATTTGTCTGTTTTAAACTCAAATTTAAAGAAATTCATGCCAGATCAGAAGATCATGCCAGAAGCTAATATTAAATTTCATAACCTAATACTAAATGCCATAAAGATTTTTTTAATGATTCTAGAAAAATGGCAAACCTGACTCAAAAGAAAAAGTTACAAACTATCATATATATTTTTTCAACTTTTATGCTTCATTTTTTTTCTTAAAATATTTAAATACTTTATAAACTATAAACTATATTGTTTATTTTGTTAAAGTATTTGTATCATTGTAGAAAATAATTTTTGAAATAACTCAAAACACTAAACACTAATCTCCTTAGATATCCATCCTGCCAAACACTAAACACTAATCTCCTTAGATATCCATCCTGTCAAACACTAAACACTAATCTCCTTAGATATCCATCCTGCCAAACACTAAACACTAATCTCCTTAGATATCCATCCTGTCAAACACTAAACACTAATCTCCTTAGATATCCATCCTGTCAAACACTAAACACTAATCTCCTTAGATATCCATCCTGTCAAATACTTAACACTAATCTCCTTAGATATCCATCCCGTCAAAGCATAAGATTTGAAACGATGCTAGGTATTTTGTTTAAAAAATAAACGAATAGCAAATATTTATTGAAATAAATAAATAAAAAACAAATACTTATTTAAAAAACAAATTTCTTTATTTTGATTATGAGAATATTAATAAGCAAGTCCCAAAAATTTTAGCTTGAAATATTTAATATTTAATTATTTTGAGCTATTTTGAGTTTCTGATTTTTCTGCTTATAATAACTTCAGAAAAAAAAAAAGAAAGATTTTTTAAGCTCAAATTGCGTGATTGAAAGATACAGTTTTCTTAATGTATTGCCTTAATGTAATAATCTTAATCTTAATGTATTGCCTTATTTTAAACTTGTTTTTCTGCACATTGGCCTTGTTCTTAAAGGTTGGTATTACAAAGTTGAAAGAGGGTTGTGACCACAGTAAGATAGCCTCCTCAACTGTAGTAGTCTTCTCAGACTTTGGAGCTGAATAACATAAAAGATAAAAAAAGATAAAAAGTTGGTTATTTTTATTTTTTCATTTAAAAATGACTGCTTTTAGTGTAAATCAAACAATAAAATATGTTAACAAATGCGAAGATGAAATATATACGCCAGTGCATATATATATATATATATATATGTGTGTGTATATATATATATCAACCCTTGGAATTAGAAAAAATGAGGTCAGCAATAATTGACTGACCTCAATCTTTTTGAGGTCGGCATCAGGCTGGTAAAAATTATTTGATACAAAGGTCTGACCATAAAACAAAAACAAGTCAAAAAATAGTAGAATAAAGTAGTAAAAGAATAAAATGAATGTTCAATTATCAAAAAATAAAACATAAAGCAACTATTATAGGTGCTCGTAAAATTTTTTATTCAAGCCTTTTTCTCTTGTATTCTCTTATAAAAAATTATACTTAAGTTACTTGTGCATTGTATGAAAAATTAAAATCAATTTTTGTTTAGGGGGAAAGTTTAAGGAATTATTTATTTAAAAATTCAACAGCTTTAAATTAGAAATTAATTGATAATAAAAAAAAAATTAAAAAAATTTTTAAAAATAAGTCATTGGGATTCTTTTATTTTGTTTTAAAATAACTATAAAAAGAAAACAAAAAAAATGTAAAAAAAAATTATTTTTCTTTCTTAACATAGTCCCCTTTTAACTCAACACAATTTTCTCAGCAATGTTAAATTGCTTTGATAGAAAAAAACATCAAACTCAGCAGAAAAGACATTAACCCCAGACTCTACCTCTTCATTTGAAAAAATCTTCTCCCAACAATCCATTTTTTAAAGTTTGGAAATAAAAAATAATCTGAGGCTAAATTAGGTGAATAGGGAAGCAACTAGCCATGGCAATAACAGATGATAATAGATGAACCGGCGGATTGCTTGATAAAATAATACTTTCTTCTTTGCCAAATGCGGAAGATTTCCCTTGATTTCTTCACTCAAACACTGCAATAAGTTTGCATATTATGCGCCATTAATGATTTTTCCTTTTTGAAGATAATCAATGAAAATTATCCACGTAACTGACCACGTAAATAATATTTAGTTGCAAAAAGCTAGCCAGATTTTTTAGTTGTTTTGAGAACATTTTTAAAAGCAAAAAAAAAAAAAAAAAAAAAAAAAAAAAAAAAAAAAAAAAAAAAAAAAATAGGCAAATAAAATATCTTTAAACGCGAAAAAACTTCAAGCTAAATAAATTACCTATTTTATGTTTCGTATAGTTTGAAAAGTTCTTAGTAAGGTAAACAAATGAAATAATTAAATCATTGAATTACTATAGAAATTAAATTAACAAGATAGAAATCAACTAAAAAAGTTAAAAATACTTTATGACGAGGAAGAGAAACTGCTTCACAATATCGCTGATGATGTTTAGGGTAAAAATATATGAAATCATCCAGACCATGACACCCTTACGTCTCAGAATTTGTTTATTTTTACACCACTTGCAGTCCATATCAAAAAAGTAATAACTGAAAAAATTTTAGTTAAAAATACCAATGGGTTTCATAGATATTGTCACTTGAAATAATGCTGACTCAGCATTTTAGTGATTTTCTGAAGCGAGTACAAAGCAACTTTGACATATAGTATCTTCATAATGGCTTGGGGAAATTTCTTAAAATTTGGTACTCTAATAGATTTTAACTTGAGGAATCTAAAAATAGCACTTTTAAGACTTGATTATCTCAAGAAATGCCTCATTTATTCAATTTGGTTCAAAATTACTGACTTGTAAATTAGTGATTTTTGGAGGTAAAATAAAGACTGTGGCCCAAAATCCTGAGTAAAAATTTTAATTGCATATCATTATTTCATCTTAGGTCTACTGAAAAAAATTAGATTCATCAATTGTCTCTCTAATATGAGATCAAAATTTGCATTTAAAAATGGTGTCTTTTTGATAAAATTTAATTTTTGTAACAAAAGCAATTAAAATATTTTTTAAAACATTTATTTGAATAAAACATAGTTTAGGACATTTATAGTCATGGGCCAAGGGAGATACCCTCCACTCCCACGGGAGGCCCCTATGCCCCCTCCCCCAATCTCCCTAAATCTGCATAAAATAAATAAATAATGCAAAAACATACAATTTAATTTTAATTTTGAAAAAAAAAATTTCATTATTTCAAATTGGTGACTTAAAACCTCCTTTTATATAAAAAACAAACATAAGTTTTGTTTTGTTTTAGGTATTTACTTGTTTGTATTTTCTTAAAGAATTACTTTTAATTTTATAGTTTTTATATTATTTTGTTAGGTAATAAACAATAAAAATAATTAATATGGAGAAATGTGACATTGGAAAAAGTCTTAACATTCATTGCAACAAAACTGGATTTTCAAGAAAACAAGGTTTTGTTCAATTTAAAGATCTTCCTTGTGAAAAACAAGAAGAAATAATATGGCGAGCAAATTTAAAGGAAAAATATAGTTCAATAAGAATTATATGTTGTTATCATGAGCAATTCTATGAAAAATATTTTGAGAGAAAAATTACAAAGTGTTGCAATCCTTTTGGAACACACAAGGAAAGTAAAAAAATTGCTATAAAAGGTAATCTTACCTTATTTACAACAGAATTGATATGGAAATTAAAAGAAAACAATTTATTATTTATAAAAAGTTTTATAATTTCAGTTATTTTAACAACGTAAAACTAAATTTGTTTTTTAGGTAATATAAAGATTTCCATAGACATGGCAAACTATTTGCAAAAAAATAATGTTTATGTAACCCCAGGTTGGAAATTCTGCAGTAAATGTTACAAAAAAGCAATAGAAACTGATGAAGATTTAAATTCACAGGAGGAATGGGAATCAAAAAGTGAGAAAAAAATTAAATTAGATACCACTAAAGAATTGCTTGGAATCTCACCGGTCAAACTAAAAAGTCTTTCAAAACACAGCAAATTGCCTGTAGCAAAACAAAAGTTTGAGAACACTATTGACAGAGTTGCAAAAATGGTCTCATTAGCATATAATATTAAAGAAACTTTTTTAACAACAGAAATAAAAAGCCCCATTTTAAACAGCAACATTAACAATGACCATGATCTAGATATTTTAATGTATGAAATAAAAAATAAATTTTCAGAGACTGACTCTTATTGCCATAAGGTGCAAATGTTAACATTCGCACCAAATCATGGACACGTAAAAAGATATCAAGCTACTTTGAAGTGTCTGAGTATCTTGTTCGAACAGCAAGAAAAGTTAAAAATGAGAATGGAATTCTATCATTACCCGGGAAAAAAACTGGAAACCCACTTTCACCAGAAACAGTTAATTTAGTGATTAACTTTTATCTAAGTGATGAATTTTCAAGAATGATGCCAGGAAAAAAAGATTATGTAAGTATTAAGAAAAACCAACATGTTCAAAAAAGATTATTGCTACTCAATCTTAATGAATTACATGTTGCATTTAAAAAAGACTACCCTAACGTCAAAGTCAGTTTGTCAAAGTTTTGTACTCTTAAACCTAAATGGTGTATTACAACTAATGCGTCAGGTACCCACAATGTATGAGTTTGCATACATCACCAAAATACAAAATTTCTCATTGATACCATTAGGTGGAATAAAAGTTATAAAGATTTCATGGCATTGATTGTTTGCTCTCTTGAAAATGCAGAATGTATGTTGCATCGATGTAACCAATGTCCTGGTATTGAAGCGTTAAAAAGTTTTTTAGTGCAGGAGTTTATGGACCATGAGCATGAAGAAGATGTAGTACTTAAGCAATGGCAGAGTACAGATCGTACAACACTACTTTCACAGTCATTGCCACTAGTTGAATTTATTGATTTATTATGTGACAGTATTGACAACATTACCACTCATTCATATATTGCAAAAACACAAAGTAGATACTTAAAAAACTGTAAAGAAAATCTTAACCAAAATGAATGCTTAATTTTAGGAGATTTTGCTGAAAACTATCAATATGTTGTTCAGGATGAGGTTCAAAGTTATCACTGGAGCAAAAGTCAATGCTCACTTTATACAGTTGTACTTTATTTTATAGAGAACAAACTTCTCAAACATAAATCTTTTTGTTACCTTTCAGAAGATGTTGATCATGACACAAGATTTATTTACAAGACTCAGGAAGATATAACTAGATATATCAAAGAAAATCTACCTGATGTATCAAGTGTGAAATACTTTTCTGATGGTTGTGCAGCACAATTTAAAAATTTTAAAATTGTATCAATCTTTGTCATCACAGTAAAGACTTTGATTTAAATGCTGAATGGGTATTTTTTGCTACCAGTCATGGTAAATCCCCCTGTGATGGTATTGGTGGGACTGTTAAAAGAGTAGTATGTCAGGAAAGTCTAAAACAAATAACTACTGGGCAGATTTTAGATGTTAATTTAATGTACTCCTTTTGTAAAGACAAGATAAATGGAATTTATTTTAAGTTATTTTTAAAAGAAGAAATCGATCAAACACGAGCACAATTAGAAAAAAGATATTTTGGTGGAAGAACAGTTCCTGGCACAAAAATGTATCATCATTTTATTCCAATTGCTCCAAACACTATAAGTTATAAAAAAATAAGTATTGATGCATGCACTGAAATATTTGATATCATTCCAAAAAGCAAACATTATGTAGATGTTTCATTAAATATTAAAAAAATGGATTATATTGCATGCTTTTATGATGGATTTTGGTGGGTAGGGATTGCTGAAGATGTAAGTGAACTTGATATAAAAGTCAGATTCATGCATCCACATGGACCAGGTAAAAACTTCTTTTGGCCAATAAGAACTGATGAGTGTTGGGTGCTCAATTCTGAAGTTATATGCTTAATTTCTACACCCACAACAATATCAGGTCGTACATACAACATAACTGATTTAGATTTGGAGAATATAAACTGTTGGTTACAAAAAAAAATTAATTATGCTTAAAATAATTTTGTTTTTATTTTATTTACCTAATTTGCATTTTAAATGTCTTTTATTTTTTTCAAATCCTTGGATTGTAGGCTGAGAAGGAGGGATGGGGGTTTAAATAAATCACAAATCACTCCCATCTTATTATGTCAATCACTATATTAGTCTAAAACTACATAAAGATATTTATTGTCAATATGTTTTAAAAACATTTTAAAACATTTGTTTTTGAAATTTATGACTTAAAATCGTAAAAAGATCTTCGAAATAAGAGGTAAGTATTTATCGATTTGAAGTAACGCAAATAAATTGTTTCTCAAACTTAAACTGAAAAAATAATGTTTTTAAAATGTATTTTAAAAACATTATTTTTTCAAATCACTAACTTACAAGTCAATAATTTTGAACAAAATTGGATAAATGAGGCATTTTTTGAGATAATCAAGTCTTAAGAGTGCTATTTTTGGATTCCTCAAGTTAAAATCTATTAGAGTACCAAATTTTAGGAAATTTCCCCAAGCCATTATGAAGATACTGTATGACAAAGTTGCTTTGTAGTCGCTTCAGAAAATCACTAAAATGTCAGCATTATTTCAACTGACGATATCTCTGGAACCCATTGGTATTTTCAACTAAAATTTTTGCAGTTATTATTTTTTTGATATGGACTGCAAGTGGTGTAAAAATAAACAAATTCTGAGACGTAAGGGTGTCGAAAATTATTTTTTTTGGATGATTTCATATATTTTTACCCTTTAGTGAGTGGGCTTTTTAATTTTAATTAGTATTTAAAACAGAAAAAAGTAGAAAGAGTTTCAAGAATGGCAACTTAAGCGAAAACAATTAGAGTTAATAAACGAATATATAGAAACTTTACTTTATATCTAATTATTTGCTATATATATTTGTGTTGTCGTGACCTCAGGCGCGGTGCTTGTTCATCCGCGAGATACTTTGCATGCGTTGTTTGTGTTTAGTAACCAGAAACTTCTTATATGTTTGTTACATAATTAGTTTTATTAACTATAACAATTATAACTTCATTGAAAACGCAATTATTTTTGTAAGTCTTTGTTTAAATCATAAAAATTGCTTTAAAAGATACATTACGATAAAAATCAGATACACAAAATTACATTTATATAAAGATTACATTTTTAAATAAAAAATAAGAATATACTAATAAAATCTATAATTTATAATAAACTTTTGAAATTTTGACAATTTAATATATCTTTATAATAATTATTTTTGTAAACAAATAATATATATTTTTAAAACAAGAAAACTAGAAATCTCAAAACGTAACAAATCGTGAGTAATACAATTCCTAAAACATTTTGACAGAATACTCTAGAACTTTATTTTGGTCAGTGTATTTTTTGAACCAATAGAATTAGTTTCTTCGTTAATTTGGCGGGTTTTTAGTGTTTGCGAATATTCTTTTTATTCTTTCGCACAAAGATGTTTTGAGAACATTTAAGTTTATTATGTTTCCATGTATGTCCGTAAAACAAAAATTTTTTGTTTTGTACATAAACTTAAATGTTCTCAAATCATTGCTCCTGTCTGTACCAGGTGGAATTTAAACTGCTTTATGTTGGAGTTAATCCTAAAACTCAAAATTATCTGGTTTCTCTTAGAGATAAAGATGCACACTCACAGACTGAAAAATGACTCACAGTTGTGTCCCGCAAGTTAGATATCAAGTTTATATAATATATCATTAGAGAAAGTAAGTTTAGAATTGGGGGTGGTTAGTCAAATAATTACAATGAGCCAATTATTTGTGTTAAAAATCAATTAGAATTCAAATCAATGTTTATTGAGGTGACACATCAAGAAGACTTTTATATCTTAATTCTATTAGAAAACTTTGTAAAAAACAGAGTTGTTACATGTAATTTTGTAACGTTTTCTTTTTCTTTCAAATATTACAAAAGAATACATGTTTTTTTTTTTTAATATTTATTAAAAAAAAAAATTATCATCCAAAAAAACTATTTAAATTTAAACTATGATTTAAATCAGTGTGATTTAAATCATGTGCACTCATTTAAATATATTCCTGTAATGTGCACTCATTTAAATATATTCCTGTAAATGTATATACATCAACTGATATGGAATTGATAAATACGTATATTTAATAAAATTTTATTTCATCATATCAGAAAAAAAATGCTATCTATCAAAACACTGCTAAAATAAATTTCAAAAAAAATTTTAATATTGAAGTTTCCGTAAGTTTTCAAAATCAACTTTAAATTAAAATACTTTTTCTGACTTAATAATTCATCATAAATTTTAGGCTTAAAGATTGAACAACGTATCTGTAACAGCTTGTTAAACTATACTAAATAGTTTAATATTAAGTAATGTTATTATTTATTATTAGATTTAATTTAATATTAGATTTTATTTAATATATTAGATTATAAATATATGTTAAACACTAGATATGTGTGGTTTATATATCTAGAGTTTAACATATGTTTTCAACATCACAACCAACAGCATTAAATTACCATTCAGTCTTGGCTAGGTCAAACCTTCGCATAATTTCCTTTATTTTACTAAAACCGCAATAAAGAAAAAAAACTTGTTTTTTTTTTTTTAGATAAAATAGCTTATTTTGCTATTTAAGACGCTATTGAAGACCAGATATCTGCTAAAAAGAAACTATATATATAGTAGTTTTGGGATTAAATAGGCACTTTTTCAATGCCGTTTATCTCGTTAACGTGAGTGTAGGTCGCAATAAAAATTGTAATTTTGGAACCGTTCTTAACGTTCACCTAATATTCATAACATGGATTAGATATGCAAAAATCTAATCGACTTTTTTATATATATCAATATTTCTATAATATTAAGCTTACTTTTTCAAGGCGTTTCACAAGATCTGACTTTAAACCAGACTTATCTAAACCACGTTTATCAAGTTCTTGTCGTAAATCAACCACTTTCATAGAATTTAACGAATCAAATGTTAAATTAGGAGAAGAGATATCTGACATTTTTATACAACAGCGAAAATTTTAACGTCTAAGCTTCCGCCTTCCAAGTTCTACGAGGTTATTAAACGATTTTCAGCGCACATACATTCTAAAATGCGAAAATATCACGTGAACGTTGTGTCATTGCGGGTTTTTATATATACTTTTCAATATTATATTACAATAGTGACACTGCATCAATATTAATTTAATATACTGCATTTTAGAAATTTTATCATTCTTAAAAATAAGCTAAAGTAAAGTTTCAGAAATTTCTAATGCAGTATACTTTATTTTAAAAAATGCATCTTTTAAAAAAGCGCATACAAACCACGATGATAATAGAAACTAGGTTCATAAACTGTTTTGAGTAGCAAATATTGCAAACCTCGTTTCAGACTCTTAAGATTCAAAAGTAGAAACCGATATTTTTTTTCGGATTTTTATTTTTAGCACATGAGTTTTGTTAAAAATTTGTTTAATCTTAGTTTGTTTTCAACAAATTTATTGAGTGTTACTTACTAGAATTTGATCGCAACACTTATAAAGATATTCAAACTTTTTAAATTTCAAAAAATTTGACGGCTGCGGTTCTTAACAACACGGAATATTTGACGATTCTCTCCTTTTGTGTCTATCCCCTCCCTCCCCCCCCCCCCCATATTTTTATGATCGATTATGATAGAATGTATTATACTGAATTGAAATCAAAACATAGGTCTGAAAATTTGAAGAAAGTATTCTAATTTAATGTTATAATTTGAGAATTTTTAAAGACATTTTAACATTGCTTTCATTTAGATTACAATTACTACAGTATTCACAACCTTTTTAAAGACATTTTAACATTGTTTTCATTTAGAAATCAATCATTTGAAATCTTTTTAACACTGTTTTGATTTAGAAATCAATCATTTATAAACATTTTAACACTGTTTTCATTTAGAAATCAATCATTTAGAAATTCTTTTTTTAAATTACGCGACCCGGTTTTTATTGGAGTTGTAATTTAAATTAATTCAAACTAATTATGACAGCCTTATTTTGGCTTAAATATGACAAACGTGGAATAACAGATTTGCTCTTGTTATAGATACTTTTAAAGATTGTATCTTATTTACTGATTCATATAATTTGCAACCTTTTAAGTCGTCAGTTAATAGTTATCTTGCTTTATAAATTTTTTTATAGAGCTAGATAACGATCAACTGACAAAATAGAAAAAGATGATTAGGTTGATGTTAAAATTCCCGACCGAAAAAATCCGTCAGGGTTAGGGTTTTCTCGAATTTGTAATTTTGTTTAGAATTGTTTTAAGATGAGTTTTAAACTTTTTCATATTACCAGATGGTGTATAAAATTTATAAAAAAATATTTTTACATAACATCTTTAACATAGGTGACAGTTGCAAAACTTTTATTGCGGTGTTTTTGGAAACTTAAGATTATAATCAAATTTTTTATAAATTTAATTTTTTAACCCTCTCATTAAGACTTAGTAAAAATGTAAAAGAAGAAATAGAAAACGGGTCACGGGTCCTAGTTATGTCAAATAAGTTCTATCTGTTTAAAACTTTTTAAAGAAACTTTTCTGTAAAGACCTATTAACAAAATCTTTTAATTAAGCTGTTTTTAATACCGATATTGTCAGTTAAATATTATTATAGGTGTTTTTCGTGCCAAAAATCGATTCGTAATGCAAATAAAAACCTTGAAGATCGTTATCCCCAAAGGTAATAAAAGTATAAAAAAGGGTGGATCGATTTTTAAAATATTTGAAATTTGATTTGCCTGAGCTGCGAATCTATGTCTTTTGGTGAAAAAAGAACCTTACTTTTTTTTTTTTTTTTAATTTAAATGAGTTTTAGAGGTTCCTCTTTGGATTCTAAATTTATGATGGATCCTAATATTGTTGAAATATAAAAAAAAACATAGCAAAAATCGCCAAAATATTGATACAAAATAATTATTCCCAGGAGAAAAAATATACAAATGTGAGAAACAAAAAACATTTTAATTTTTATTCTATATTGAGATATAATAATTAAAAAAAAAAAACTTTTTTTAAAAAATTGCAAAAAAAAATATATTTAACTTAAAAAAGTATCAAAAGTATGGATTGTCTACAGAGTACGTACGCTCGGATAGGGGAGAGGGGGTCTGCAAATGACGTTTAAAGGGGTGGGGCAAGGAGTCAATTGTAAAAGTCAGGAGACAATAAGTTAAAAAGATATGAATAAATGATAGGTTGGGAGGTTAAAAAAGTAGGTCTTGTAGTGGAGCGGAGGATGCTCAAAAAATAGCAAAGTGCGGGGGGTGGGGTAGGTCTAAACAAAAGCGTACGTACTTTATGGACGATTCCTTATAAAAGCAATTTAAACTATAACGTTGTTTCAAAGTTATATAGCTTTTAGTAAATATGATTCTAGATGTCTAATTTCATTAATAAAATATTCACGTTTAAAAGTTACGATCATTGAAAGTTATTTTTGGGGGTAAATGAGACGAATTTTAAACTTGAGATCTTTTTTTGTAAATTTACTAAAGTTATGTAACACCAGTCATCTATATTTTCTTTAAGCCCCTGTCTGTTTTATATATATTCTTTGTGTAATGTAAAAGTTTCATTGTAATTTTATTATTTTATTTTTATATGAACGGCGAAATATATTATTTAAAAAAAAAAACAATTGCTGACAAAATTATGTGTTTGTGTGCTATTTTGGGTAAAAATATGAAACTTAACATACACGTGACATGCACGTGACATACACGTTGATAATATTAAAATACTCATTTTAATGGGTGGTGACTAAAAATCCGGACTAACTTTAATAACGGGTGGTTACTAAAAATCCGGACTAACTTTAATAACGGGATGACTAAAAATCCGGACTTTAACTGGCTTTTGAATGCTATAAGCTAAACTTTTTTTTTTCATTCTTATATCTATTTTAAAGTTTATTTAATTCTCTATAAGTTAACTTACTTGTTTTTAGATAATTAATAAAAATAAAGATAATAATGATGTCCAAGCAAGAAGAAATTATTATTATTATTATTATTATTATGTATTTCGCTGATAAAAAAAAGTTTACAAGTTTAGAATACAAATATATAATACATGGCTGGGGCAAGAAGAAGACTGTTTTAGTCTTATAACCAAGCCCTTTTAAATATAACTGTCAATAATAAAAATACAAAGCAAAATAACTCGTTAAATAAACGTTAAATAAAACGCTGCGTTAAAATAAAATAACGTTAAATAAAATGTAACGTTAAGTAAAAATAAAATAAAAATACATTTTACGTTACAGTGTAATATATTCAAAAGTATACGAAAATTTTTTTGATTAGTTTTTTTTTTTTGATTAAATTCATTTTTCCTAACTGGTTTTAGATTTATAAACTTTTTGAATTTAAATCATAAAATAACAGATAATACATATATTTTAATTAACTTTGAACATAAAAATAAGAATTTGATAAAGATTTAGTTGAAATACGTTGAGAATATTAAATTTAATGAATAGAGGTTTAGTGTGTGAGAAACGATCTACATTTCCAATAACTCTTACAGCATGCTTTTGTTTAATTAATAGTTTATTTATTTTAGTTGCATTAGTGCTACACCAGGCAACGTTTGCATAACTTAGGTAGCAATGAATAAACAAAAAATAAATGTATTTTAAACAGGTTTGATTTAATAACAGCTTAGCTTTGTAAAGTAGGCCGATATTTTTCGATATTTTATTGTGAATTATATCTATGTTCTCCTTCCAACTCACATTTTCATCAAAAACAACACCAAGAAATAACAATAAACGCTCTCTAACTATACAAGAGTTATTTACAACTAAATTTGGAAGATTTAATGGGATAAGTCTTTTTTCATGAAGACGATAGAAGGAAGTATATTTTGTTTTTATATTTATGGATAATTTATTTGCTATAAACCAATCGCTTAGTTTTGCAGGCTCTTTGTTTACTGTTTAAAATAAAGAATTAATATCCTTATCAGAATAAAATAAATTAGTGTCGTCTACAAATAGGATTGAATTTAAGATACTTGAAAATTTATTCAAGTCATTTATATAAACGAGGACGCCGCAAGAAATTGTTGCTAAATCGGTTTTACTATCATCAAACGAGATATACTGTTTTCTGTTTGTTAGATAACTTTTGAACCAAGCTAAGTTATAATTTAAAACTGGAACAATGCCTTTAATTATTCGCCCGACTAGAATCACCAGTCATTCATCATCATTATATGAAACATTTTAACAACCGATTTTTTTAATAAGTCGCTAAAAAAGGAAATTATAAAAACCGATATTTCCAATCACTTCCCGATTTTTTTTTCTATTTGTGTTATTTTAAAAAAAGAGAAGCAAGGAAAGATTTTAATAAAAAAACGGCTTGTCAACAATAATAATTTAAATTCTTTTAGAGAACAATTATCACTTATAGATTGGGGTTATATTAACTTTAATGATAATATCAACATAATCTACGACATTTTTTTCAAAACTTTTTACCAAGTGTATGATTTCAATTTTCCATTTAATTGAAAATAAATAGTTTTAAGCGATAAAGAAATGTCATCTTCCTGGATTACTAAAGGTCTCAGAAAATTATCAAAAAATAAGCAAAAGCTATACATTAAGTACCTAAAATCAAAATCAGAAAAACATAAACAAAGTTATAAAACTTATAAAAACTTATTTGATAAGCTTCGCAAAAAGTGCAAAAAAAAAACTGCTATTCAAACTTTCTTAATAAATATAAGTACAACTCAAAACGCGTCTGGTAAATCATAAAGGAGGTGTTTGGAAAACTTAAACCAAATAAAAATTTATTCCCAAAAATTACACAAATTGACAACAAATTAATAAATGACTCGAATGATATTGCATTTGAATTTAACAAGTTTTTCTTTGCTATCGGGACAAAAATAAGCGATAGTATTTCATTCATTAAAGATTAATCTGTTGATGAGTTCGAAACATCAAAAAGCTCTAACGTAAATTTTACTGAGTTAACTTTTAATGAACTTGAGGTTGGTTTTAAGTCATTAAGACGAAATAAAGCTACTGGGTATGATGATATTAACACAAACATTGTGATTG